TACATACATACATACACATACACATACTCGTGCATATGCGTGTTAGTGTGTCGAGTTTGTTTTTTCGGACGGCTTGGGGTTTAAATATTTTTTGTTGCTGCTGGTTTTAGGGGCGCATGGAAAATGAAAGCAAACATGTGACACATGCTACAATTAATACCGTTAATTATTAAAGTTAACACCCAAAAGCGACATGCACAAGTCAAATAAATAAATACAGACACACACACACATGCCTATACACACATATAGGATTACGCGTATGTATGTGCATACTCATTTGAAAAGTTGTTAAACGCAAAGGCGGCAACGTTGCCAGCAAAAAGTCAACGGCTCGGCTTGGCTTGGCACAGCCCTACGCCCCCAATAGTCACACTGCAAAAAACGAATTGATTCTCTTTAATTGTTTCAAGCCGTCTACCTGTTTGTCTGTATGAACGCAAGTATTTTAAAAACTATGGAAGCTATCATCATCTGACTTGGCATAAGAATTCCTAGAACCGTTTTGCAAATCAGGTTTATTTAATTTTTGAAATTTCTTTTGCCCCTCAACCACCCTATCGTATATAAGTCGATAGGGAGATGCGTTTTGCAATCTCTTCCGCTTTTTTTATAGCCTACTTGGTTGTTTGTCTGTCTGTGTGAGCGCCAGTCTTTTGAAAACTGTGGAAGCTATCAGCACCTGACTTGGCATAAGAATTTTTCAAACCGCTTTGCAAATTATCTTCGAATTCTATTGTCATGTAAGTCGATAAATAGTTTCTTTTTGGCGATATATTTTCGCAATCGCCTTTTTATCAGTCTGTAAAAAACGAATTGATTTTCTTCAGTTGGGCGAACCGTCTATTAATCTCCCGTTTTGTTGTTCTTTTTGCCTTTTCTTTCGGTACGGGGTATTACCGGTTAATACTTGGGTACAGCTAATACACTGAAAATAAATAAGATGGATTTGTTTTAAACTCTTTAACTTAAATGGATCGGGATATATTGTTGATTAAAACTAATTTAAAATTGTTTTGAAAATTATAGCACTAGAAATTGTAACGACTTGCATAAAAACAACTTTTTAGGTATAGCCTTGGAACGGGATATTTATTATTTTTGGACTTTGCAATAGCTGTTAATTTTTTGGAGCAGTGCATGCCCCTTCAGGCCGCCAACCACAGTGCATGCCGCTTCAACGCCCCAACAATTATGGACAATGCGTACTAATTTCAAACGAAAATGCCGCCGTAATTTCCCCAGAACCCCACAACCCCACCATCCGACCACCCCAGATCCGCAGAACCCCAGAACTCCGGAGCTCGACAACAACCCACCTACCCAGCTGCCCCTCCTGAACAGGTTCAGGTTTCGTTCGCGCGATGCGGCTGCTATAATGATTTTTATTTATAAACTGTGCGGCACAGGACGTCGCCCGCGTCCTCGTCGTCATCGTCGTCATCGTCGTCGTCGTCGGCAGAAGGACTCAGACATCTGCCCAAGCCTCTGGAATATATATGCGTGCTACATTTTTTTCCCTCTATTTTAATTTTTGTTGGGCGGCTTAACTTGGCGACCGGGGCAGTTGGCACATAAATAATTTACACGCTTGGCTGAGGCGACTTGTTGTTGTTGTTGTTGCCACGGCTGACATAATTCTGTGGAAAAATAAGGAAGCAGGAAGCAGCAGAAGAGGAACAGAACTTTGACAATTTGGCGCAACTTTCAGCTTAATTTTAAAGCAAACGCTTATTGCGGGCGGCTCTGATTATTGTTATTATAAGTATAGTATGTGCTGCCTATCAGTAATACAAGTATATACTTTTTTCAATGCTACGCCACGGACTTCATTTTCCCGAGGTCAGTAACACATAACACTCCAAAGTCAAGAGCAAAAGTCACCAATTTGTTGTTGTTGTTGTTGGTGTTGTTGTGGTGCGATGAGGGATTTTCATGGACGGGACGGGCGGGCAGTTCCCATTCATTAGTTCTCATTAAAAACACAGCAGCAGCTAGCATGATAAACTCATTTATAAACAAAGCATTTTTCAACAGAAACCATAACCCAAGGCGCACACACAGATACAGATACAGATGCAGATACCGATACCGATACAGATACAGATGCAAATATAGAGAGACATTTTGAAGGCATTCGGGGCATCCGAAACTGGTTTTAGGCCAACTCGAGTGCGATTGTGTGTGGCTGGAGGGCGGAGGCGGGAGAAGTGTTTATTTATTTGGGAGCACTATGTCCATGTCTGCAGCTAATGAACTCTATTAATAATGCTCGGGCAGCGATATCGCACAAAGATACATATACTATACATATGTTTATAAGAAAAGACAACAACAACAACAGCACAAACACCACAAAACACTAAAGTATACAAATGTGTTTCATTATTGCGATAATTCTGTAGCATTCGAGTCGTGGGTGGCACGACCTCCAATTCATTAGAGCAGATCTCTTTTCAAATTGGGGATCGGAGGAACTGCTTTCCTTAATTGTTGCTGCTTCTTGCAGCTGCAAGAGAAGTGCAGAGGAAGGCGTTGGCATTTCATTTCAAAAGCTTCATGAATGCCAACAGAAGCTGCGACTTTCCAAAGTGTTGATGGTGCAGTTTTTAATTTGAAAACGCACAATTGTGTGAAATATTTGAAAGAAGCGCCTACCGAATCGAAAACGTCATTCAGTGAAGCGCGAAATATTGACTCGCAACATGGCCAGGGAAGCATCCCTAGAATAGAATAAAATAGAATATAATAGAATAGATGCCTTCGGAATATCGGATCAAGGAAAGTTTATTTTTAAATTAAAAAATATTTTATTATTTTTTTGAATAATTCATATGTTGCTGCGGATCGGCCGGATTTGGCCGATTTGACTAGAATAGATCTCTCCGGAATATTGGATCAAGGAAAGTTTTCTTAAAAAAAACTATTTTTATTTAATAATTTTTAAGTAGCTGCAGATCGGCCGGATTTGGCCATATGACGACAGTTTGATATTTTTTTTAAATATGAGACAACTTCTTCAGAATTTTTTTTAAACTGGAAGTAATTTTTTAAATCATGCTTTCATTCGATAAAATTCCTTTAGAGGTGCAGCTCAGTTCTACAATTCTAGTCACAAATTATTAGCTTAAAAAAGCATTTTAATGATTAATTAATTATTTTCTTCTTGAAATGAACGAATAATCATCTCTAAGCAGTTGGAAAACAAGAATACAAGTTTCGATTACAAAACTGAGCAATTCTCACATTAGTTTCTTATATAGTACTTATTTTAATCTTTATTTAAGATCTGTCCTAGGTTGCACAATTATTATATTTCATTATAACTTTGTTATTTTTTAAGCAGGCTTCTGACATGATGTTAGCGTCGTGCTTCGAATCGAGTCATATAGTCAGGAACGAACTCACATGGTGGGACTCCTGTTAGCTCGTTGAGCTATGAGAAGTTGTTTGAAAGTAAAAAGGAGCTAGAAATTTGTCACGATTTATAGAAGAAAATGTATGATCAACATGACGAGGCGAATGAATGTATTCAATATTTTATACACCTGCCATGGGATATCTTTGTTAAAATCGGTAAACCATATCATATAGCTGACATAGGAATGCTTGGTACAACAAAGTGCATTTCCTAGGAAATAGGTTGGATACTCAAGCACCGATAGACCCGAGTTTTCTTTTTGTTAATCCTGATTATTTTGTTCTTCTAGTACTTCAATTTCAATTTATTCGGATGCCGCGAAATGAATTCGAAAAAAAAAGATTCCACTACATTGTCACATTATGAACAATTGTATACTCTATACGCGTAAGTTTGGTTTGCCGAAGGATACTCGTATGCATTAAATGGGCAATACAACTACAAGTATTTTATTGTGAGGCAGCAAACATAAATGCTTGGCTTAGCCAGACTATTGTCTATATAGCCGCCATATGTTATTCATACGTAAGTATAGCAAGTGCGGGCAATAAACTTGCAATGCGCGGCGACATGTGGCGACATGAAAGCGGACGAGGGGGTGGGGGGTGGAGACAAAAGGATGTTAGAGGGCAACAAAGTGGCGAGTGGGTGGGAGAGGGTGGTAGAGGGGGGAGGGCATTGTTGTCTGGCATGTTGTTGGCTTGGCTCCTGTGTTGTTTAGCTCCTTTGTCGAATGCACTTTTTTTTTATAACGAAATAATTATATTTATGCCATTTATAGCAACAACAACAACAGAAGCAGCAGCAGCAGCAGCAATGAGCTTGCAAGAGTGGCTCGGGGGAGTGCACAGAAATGTGTTTCATGTTGCATAAAGCCGGGCAGCATGGCCAGCCATTGCAGAACGCATTCAAGTCGAAGTAATGCAAAGGACTCGCCATAACGCCGCACATTACACGCAACAACAACAACAACAACAGCAACAGCAGCAACAAAATGGCGACAAAGCCAATGCAGCTCAGCTCAGTCAATAGTGTGCGTGTGTGAGTGTGTGCGTGTGTGTGTGTGTCTTGGTGTGTGTGCGAGGGCGTGTCTGTCACGAAATTATTTTTATTATTTTACACAATTTTTATATAAAAGCAAAGTGCGGTACCGGAATAAAAAAAATACAAAACAAAAAAATGAGGAGAGGAAAGATCGAATGGAGAGAAACCCACGACAGCCAACGACTTTACTACAACAAGGCATAAATATTTATGTGTGCGAGTGTGCGTGTGTGTATGTGTGTGTATTAAATGAGATTTTTGAACTTTCCCATAAGCGCATTATTCGTACTGCAAATCACTTTACGTATGCACTGAAACTTTTCCAGCAAAGGCGCACAAGTTTTCCACAACCCAACACAGCCAGCCCAGCTAGCCGAAGAGACACTGAATAGCTTAGCATTCATATATATATATGTATATATAATATATATATATATATATACTAGTGTATATATATCTATCGATTTACATTTAAATATATTTGTATATTACACACATGTAATATTAAAGCATTTATCTTTCTATTTCGTTACAGTTGAAGTTGAAGCAACTTTATCGAAACTGATTCAAGGAGCTGAGCTGAGAAGCAAAAACACCGACACAGGTATGTCAATTGCCAGAACCTACAGAACCACATCCACCTCCACCATGGCGTCCAGCTACTTACCATAATGCAAGAGACGATTTATCAAATGCACGTAAATTATAATAAATTAAACACACAAATTAATATTAATGACAAGCGCAGCAAATACGCACACCCATACACCCATACATCCAGACATCCATTCGGAAACTGACGCAATCGAAAACCCACTTCTTATACCTGCATACAAATCAGCTCATGTACACTGGCAAAAATGTTTTTGAACTCAGATTCGAAATGCAAATTGATTGCATTTTAACAATTTCCAATTTTATTTTTCAAGAAATCGATTTAAATAATCGAACCCAACCCCTAGCGTCTTTTAAATTTTTAATCTTATGGTTCGTTTTCAATTCCATTGTTATTGCAATGCTGTCGCAAATTATCAAATTTTTCATTGAACAAGAAAAAACGAAATACTTTTCTACAACTTAGAACAGACTTCAAAAAAATTTTAGCCATTTTCAGGGGCAAATTGTCGTCGATTGTTTGTTTCCAAGCTCAAAGTTAATCCCTGGCCAGTTTTCAGTTCTAATTGTATTGCTTTTGATAAGTTGACAAAAATTATTATATTTTGAATTCGTTTTCATAGCTTCTGAAATTTGTAATAGACTTAAGCTACAGCCTACACTCGAAGTTAATTTCTGGCCGGTTTCAAGTCACAAATTATCAAATTCTTTTTTGATTTTCATGGAAAAAGAAAATGCGAAACACTTTTCTGCAACTTGGAACAGAATTTACCATTTTCAGGTGCAAATTGTCGTCGATTGTATTTCAACGACATTGTTTTTAAGCTCAAAGCCAATCCCTTGTGTTATCAAAAATGATAACATTTTGCAACGGATTAAAAAATAATATAATAGAGCTTAATTTTGAAGTTAATTTCTTGAAAATGTTGTCGGAAATGTTCAAATATCAAAAGTTAAATAGTTTCTGGTTATCCAAATTTTTATTTTGTTTAATGAAGGACTCATTTACTAATTTTGGAAGCATAAGTTTCAACTTCGAAATCGAATTATTATATTATATAATGATATCCAATTCTGCAAGCACAGATCTCCTCCAGGTAGGCGTTCCTCCGAATATACTTCTTTTTTATTCCACAATATATTCTGATTTGTCCGATGTAAAAATAGGCTATAATGCTGTTGGTTGAGTTTGAAGAAATTGTGCTCGAAAGATGATTTTTGAGTGCCCAGTTGTTGGCATCATTTAAAGCCCTTGCTTGATTTTGTCAGTGTATTTGTGCGTGTCGAGCTATATGTTCTAAGTTGTTGCATTTGTTGGGCTGCTTTCTAGACAATTGCCAAATTAAGTGCATGCCTGGAGTCAGTTGTCCCTCCGCCCCGCTCTCCCTGCCCGCCGTTTCCTGCTCTCTGTGGTCAGCAGTGTTTGTGTCATCGCCACAAATACAGTGGGAAGCGGTTGGAAGCGGCTCCGCATGAATCCAGAATATAATTATTTCTCTTCTATGCTAGTTAGAAATCAAAATTAAACATATCAAGAATAAATTCCGAAATCTATTGATATTTTCAATTTCTTACTGTCTTAGATATGCAGAGTAAACTTTATATTTTTTTATTCCCCATGTACTAAATTTTTGCGTAATCGCCAAATAACCAGTTCGGATTTCGCTTACTCGAAATTAAAATTGCTTTCACTTTCGCACAATTCTATTGGATCCTGGAAAGGTCTGTTTTAGTTTAAGAATAGTTTAACACGCAACATGCCTTGAGATATAAGTAGTAGTAGTAGAGAAGTTCATAGAGAATCTTCATCTTTAAGCAGCTAAGAAGTCTTTTTACGAAGAGCCTCAGTAGCTCGGTGCTGAACCTTCTCGCATTGTTACTGTCCTGCTGAATTTCAGAATATTTTCTCTAGAGAATTCTCAGAGCTCTGGTTAAAATTGATCCATAATAATAGTCTGTCGATTAAATCGAAAAAGAATAATAGAAGAAACGAAGACTAGCCTCACAGAAGATTCCCAATTGCTTGAAGAATACATTCCTCTGACTATAAGCATTAATTGGCAAAGTAGCAGAGAAAAGTCTTAAATTTGCGAAAACCGTTTGAGCTATTCGGAGTGAAAATCTTACCTCGAAGCTTATATTTCACTTGAAAGAAGCCTATATGCATATATTATTTTTTTCTAAGAACTGTAATTCACTTTTGGCTTGGAATTTTTGAAAATTTGATGCTATTTACAATGCGGCGGGTATAGCTGGTATTCACTGTAATTCGAGGTAAATCGAACACAAAAGTAGACTTTTGATTATAAATTCACGCAATCGGTTTTGTCTTTGAAATTGGCGTGCAGTGCCGTTTGCCGAGTATCAGACTCTATAATCGACTTGAATGGAGAGACTTGAGTTGACTCGACTCGACTTGGCCGGGAGCGGCGGGACAGATGGACGGACTTAGTTTGGGACTCTCATTGCAGCATATGAGGCGGTTAATAAGCCGGGCCAACATGATGTTGCCCGAAGGCAATGCGAAAATTGTCAGGCGCTTGAATGCTGCTTCTAAGCGACAATTGGCATTGGGTGGTGCCGGTGCCGGGGCTGGTGGGGGAGTGGTAGGGGGAGTGGAGGGGCGGGAAGGGGCGTGGGTGGCTACAATGATGCTGATAATAAGTTTGATGTTGATGGTGTGGCTGGCTGGGTGGCTGGCTGGCTGTGGATGATAATGAAGTCTGTCCGAGCACGACTCGAAAATTTTGCATATTTGATGAGCTCATGTGCTGCTGCTGGTCATGCTTGCTGTGTGTGTGTGTGTTCGTGTGTGTGTGTGTGTGTGTGTGTGTGTGTGTGTGTGTGTGTGTGTGTGTGTGTGTTCGTAGCACCTGTCCCAGCCTGGTTGGCTGTGTTATGCTTGTTGAGTTCTAATTTGGCTAACAAATTATGCAACAGCAACAGCAACAAGCCAACTGACTGCCACTGCCACTGCTGCTTCTACTGTTGCTTCTGCTTATGCTACTGCTACTGCTACTGTTTCAGCACTACTGACCCGACTTTATAGGCCTGGCAGGCGTTGACTTTATGTCCGACTTGCCACAAGTCTCGTACTCTCCTCAGCGCCGCATGTTCTACTCGTGGCAAGCGAATGTGTGTGTCTGTGTGCGCAATTTTCCTTGTTAAATAATTGTAATTTATGGCTTTTTACACAAATAAATATATGAAAATCAATAAATTTTCCACACACAGACACACACTTAAACATGTGTCCGGCAATTTCTCTAATAGAGCTAACGACCGACTGGCCTCCTAAGCGCGCTCCCTCCTCCCAACACGGCCAGAGTTCATTTTAAACGCATTGCTGTGCGCATTTAACAATTTGTTATTGTTATTATGGGCCTCAACAATTATGCACCGAATATTGTCACAATTTAGGGCAATAGCCACAAGTAGGGCCCAGGGGACTCTTGACCACGGAACGAGCCCAACTCAACTCAACTGAACTGAACTGCCTGTTCGTCGCTGCTCGTTGCTCCATTTATCCCCAATCATTGCATTTTGAACTTTCAAATATGCACAAAATTTTTGCATTGCAATTGCGGTTTTTGGTTACAGAACGAAAAACACAAAACCAAAAAAATGTAAATACCCAGGGGCTACCATAAAAGCAATGATAGTTCTACATGGGTTGCTGTTTTAGTTCCAAGTGGACAACTATTTAAACTGTCTCTTGGTTCAGATTTTCCATTTTGAAGCGAATCTTCCCATGTGAGGCTTTTGAATGCTGGATCGGCAACCTTTTCTGTAACGAATCACAGGTTATAAGTTTGCGAAAAACCTTGAAATGTTCACATTTTTGTATTATACCGAATCCACTTAAATATTTGTGGAGTTCAATTAAGTTTCAAATCACTATTAATTATAATGGTTGAGTACAATATATATATATAATAGTTAACTGCGATTGTATGTAACACATAGGGTGGCAATCCATTCGTCCATATGAACGTACAAATCTCAGAAAAGTACCAATTTGAGTTTTTATTTGAAATGAAAATGGTTTCAAATTAATTATATTTCAAAATTAACTAAAAATATAATTTTTTTAAGTTATTTCTTTTTTTTTTTGGGAATGGGTCTTAAGTGTTGAGCCTGCGCGACTCTAGCATTGCTTTCTTGTTTTCTTTTCAACTCGACAGAATGTATCAATTGAAACATAATGCTACTGCCTTCTAAAAGATTGGGTAACATTTTGAAAAGTTTTCAAAATTGTGTGTAACATTCGATAGTTGGCTTTTAAACGATACACACACACCTTTTAGTTTTTAAGAAAGTAACACAAAGAAATAGAAAAAATTATGGATTTCTTATACGAATCGGTGGCACTGGGCGTTGATTTGATTATCCTAGGACTGTGCGTGCGTGAGTATGTACATCTGAAGCAAACATCGAGGGTCCTGAAATCGGCGCCCCAATACCCCATCGATAGCAACCTGAGGGGGATTGTAGAGCAGCAGCCGAACCGAAAAATCCCCTACGCCGTGATTCGGGGCACGGTGACGCCGATTGGCACTCCCCTGCGTAGCGTGCTCGTGCCGAGCGTGAGTGGCGTGTTACAGATCGTCAAACTGAATGAACATCGTTCGACACGTGGCTTCGCGGGCTTCTGGACCGAGCACCATAAACTCATCCACGAGTCCGCCAATGCGATGCCCTTCGAGTTGCGCAATCAGGACTTTGCCGTTGAAATTGTCGATGCGCTGAGCGCTGCCATCCTGGATACAGACATCGTATATGACAACTATGAGCCCTCCTCGTTGTCCTTCTTCGACAATGTGTTTGGGTTCTTTACCGGCGTGCGACAGAAGGGTCTCCAAACCACCGAACAGGTGCTGCGTAACGGCAGTTTCGTAACCGCCATCGGGGAATTGGAGATCGATGGCGAGGGTCTACGCATGCAGCCCTCAGAGGCCGGACCGCTATTTCTGACCACCGCTACCAAGTCGACGATTCTGAAGCGGTTCGAGGATGCCAAGAACTCCTCCGTCTTCAAGATAATGCTCTGCACCACCATATCTGGCATCTTGGTGGGTCTGATTTTGCGAAAAATCTACCGCAAGAAGCGACAGGAGCGGGAAGAGGCAAAAATTCGCATTCGGCTCGATACGGAGCGCAGGGAGAGACGTGCTCTGAACCGCTCGAACGTTATCTCGTCCGATCAGCTATGTGTCGTTTGTTCGACAAACCCCAAAGAGATCATTCTACTGCCCTGTGGTCATGTCTGTCTCTGCGAGGACTGCGCTCTAAAGATCGACGTATCCTGCCCGGTTTGCCGGACCAAAATCGAATCCAAAGCAGCAGCGTTCATAGCTTAGATGACGATCGTTATTTTAGTTCCGTTTTCTTTTTTTTAAATCCATATATGTACGAGTATTTATTTTGAATATTAAATCTTTAGTTGGCAAGCCAAAAGTTGGCCCACTCTCATTTGTTTTTTGGTATTTCTGTACCAGCTAGCTTCGAGTTCTCAACGCTTCCAACTTTTAACAACATTTTTGAAGAAATAACAAACTATAAAACATTTAATTTATGAATGCTGTCCGCAAATTAATCCGCTGAGCATCCGGAAACTAAAACAATCACTATCATTTGAAAGCACTTTTAAAGTCCGTTTAGAGTCCATTGAAGTTCCGTTTATGGAACGTTGATTTAATGGCGGTTCGAGGTCCGTTTGAGGTCCAGTTTAGATTCGTTTTAGGTCCGTTTGAGGTCCATTTTAGATTCGTTTTAGGTCCGTTTTAGGTCCGTTTGAGATACAGTTTAGATTCGTTTTAGGTTCGTTTTAGGTCCGTTTTAGGTCCATTTGAGGTCCAGTTTAGATTCGTTTTAGGTCCGGTTTAGATTCGTTTTAGGTCCGTTTGAGATACAGTTTAGATTCGTTTTAGGTTCGTTTTAGGTCCGTTTGAGATACAGTTTAGATTCGTTTTAGGTTCGTTTTAGGTTCGTTTTAGGTCCGTTTTAGGTCCATTTGAGGTCCAGTTTAGATTCGTTTTAGGTCCGTTTTAGATTCGTTTTAGGTTCGTTGCAGGTCCGTTTGAAAACTTTTAGAGGTGCGGTCTAACTCGTTAAAGTTCCACTTGACGTTCGCTTTGTACACCACCAGAGATGAATGGAATTCCTTTTCTCTCTGTCTCTTCGTGAGAAAAGTCCCACATCTAGATGTATTTAATGTATAAATCAGATATTGCCGGTCTGACTTACCTTTAATTATAGTATATTTGTTCGTACAGTAAATTGTGATAACTTATTTTCTTTGTTGCGGTAAGAGAACGAATCGATAGATTTGATTTCAAATACAACTGCCCTCGTTAATTGTTATCCATTGAGTGTAATGAAAAGCCATAACAGCCCATATATACACAGACACGTATATATGTATATATACTTGTATATTTTATCTGCACACATCGGTTTATAAATTTGTTTGCTTAACTTTGTGGGACTGGTGTGTGTCAACGATTTTGATTTATGAGCAAAAATCAAACAATTGTTGATTATCGTTTTTTGTTTTGTGTATTTTGCTTAATGTTTTTTTTTCGAAAATTGAAATTAATTAAATTGTGTCAAAGCTATGAAATTTTATAAAATAAATACATGTATCGCCCATCCATTTGTTATCTCTACCCCTCAATTAGTCCCTCGCTCTATTTGCATTGTGAGTGTGATGTGAAAAATGTTTTATTGCACTCACCGCCATATAGTCGAGTTGTTTTCCCCCCCGTTCAATATCAATTTCAATTCCAACTTTAATTTTCTCCCAATTTATGGCTGATTTATTTACTGTTTGTCATTTGCCATTTGCCATTTGCCGACATACTGGAGGGTTGGACGTCTAGCTGGCTTTTCTGCTTAGATGCCGCTAAATAAATATGGGTTTGGTGCCGTACATACGCGCACACTATATCTCTATCTATATGAATATAGAAGTATATATATATATAAATATATTTAGAGGGAGAGAGAGAGCGAGAGAGAGAGAGGGAGAGAGAGCGAGAGATAGGTATAATAAAGCACACACACATATCGTTGGTGCGCTTCGTACTCCTCCTAGCTCGGCATCGGTTGGTGTGAAAAGTAATTATGGCGCTTTATGACAGCCGGTCAACTTCATTCAACGTCCATTAATTTGGCCACACTTCACTTCATTGCGAACGCGAACAGCGTTAGCCCCTCCCGTCCCTCCTCTGCCGCCCGTCCGTCCAGCTGGGCTGCTCAGCTCTGCTCTATTTGCTCGAGCGTTTGTTGCACTTTATGAGTGCGCGTCGTCGTCCACTCCCCGCTGTTTGTCTCACTCGTCATGTTGTTGTTGTTTACTATTTTTTTCTGCTTTCTATTTATTTTTGTTTTATGTGTTGCCTCAGCTGGACACGAACACCGTTGGTAGCGCCAGCCCAATCCCCCATTCCCCGCAATTTTAATCACCCGACTCACAGTGGTGCCAGAACTGTGCCGAATAGCTTCCCTCTAGGATGATGCACTCGTCTATTTTGCAAAAAATCTACTCATGTTTGTCTGTATGAACGTAAATTTCTCGATTATCTGACGCATTAGGAATGACAAACTTGGCGTAAGCATTACTTAGGCGATGGCACAGCACGAGTTTTTATTTGTTGTCATGCATGTTACATGTATCAGAGGAAACCCATGAATGTCTATGTGTATGAATGTCTGTCTGTATGAACACCAAAATATTGATTATCTTGACACTTGAGGACGTCAAACTTGGCATTACCTAATTAATGGTACATCACAAATTGTTAATTGTTGTATGTGTGTCTGTACTCTTATGAAGGCCTAATTCTCGATTATCTGATGCATTAGGAACAGCAATTAATTGCACAGCACGCGTTTTTATTTCTTGTCTAATATGTCAACTAGAAAGTCCGTTTGTATAAATGTTCGTCTGCATGAACGTCCAATTTCCGAATATTTTCAGCATTTAATAATATTTGTGTAATATATTAAAAAGTTGCAAAATAAAGTACGTAAAACTCTGAAAAGATGAAGATCATATTCGGTCTTCAATATATGTATCAACTCTATTTTTTAGCCAGCAAGTACTGTTAGCGTCTGACAGTATGAAGGTCTATTTCTTTGGTATCTTAAGCGTTAGAAATGCGAAAACCATGCTTAAGGATTGCTACGCTTTGGATTCACTTTGGAACCACCATAGAAAAACGCTAATTTGTTTGTCTATCTGAATGTCTATTTTCTGGATATCTTTAGTATTAATATATGCTCTAAATCTTATTGCTAACCTAGTCTGTACAGAAGTCTGACTGTATGAGAGGCTTAAGCTCGCATATCCGAAAAACGCGAATGCTTTGAAGGACGATTACTGAAGTATTGATATCTGCTGGAAGTTCTTGACTCACAAGCCTCTATTAATATTGTACCGAATATTCAAGTGTGTTCTAGTTCTTCGGGGGCTATACATAGTTAGTATAAAGGGATCTACTGTCCAGCTATGACTGAATGCGGCACCACTGTAGGCTTGAGTCGTATCCCATAGTCCATGGCGATATAGCGACAGCCTGTTTTGGGGCACGGCCCGGCATTCCAACGCATTGCCGTCTGGTCACGTATGATGACCCAAATGTGTGGCTGACTGGCTGGTTGGCTGCCCTGTCCGTCGTCGTCGTCGTCGTCGTGGTCGTCGTGTGTCATGAAAATGTTGCGTTTGTTTGTATGTTTTTAATAAAATTTATTACACACTCACATGACAAACAGGGCAGGCAAACAGGGCAGTCAGACGGACAGGAGGGCATATGCTGCACACACACACACACACTCGCATACGCATCGTATTTGTCTAATAGAAAAATTATGGGCCAAGCCGGCGTTAATTTTTTTTATATTCATGCTGGCTCTGTTGGTCGCATGGCCTCCGAGAACTCCAATGCCTATAATTATAACATAAACATTTTTATTGAAATGCTGAGGCATTTTCATTTACGTGCCGAACCGATCTTAATAACACTTTTTCATTTCAAACCGACAGAGAGAGAGACAGAGAGACAGACACACACACACTCTTGGCCGGCTAGTCAAGCAAATGAACTAAAAGTAATAAACATTTATTTTATTAATTTATTATTGCACACACACAACCGAAATTCCCCGTATGTGTGCATGTAATTGCATGTGTGTAATTCTGGCGGCTAGATCTGTGCGTGATTTTCTGATCGTGATTGTGATCGTGATAAAAGTGGTCGTGTATTTCGTGACCATAAGGACTGCCAAAATATTTGAAAATAAAAATGAAATGAAATAAACAGAACTACAAGAAGTCGAGCATTCACATAAATTCGTGTATTCCTTTATTTTTAAAAGAAAATAAAGAAGCGCGCTATGCGACGAATGCGTTGAAACTTCCCAAGCAAGCTCCCTCAGTCTTTTATTCTTCTTATTATTTTTAGAGTGTGCTGTCTAGTGCTTTTCATTTGACCAATTCTGGGTGGTTCTGGGCAATTGCTTGATTATTGTAAGCAGCTCATGGAAGATAATTTCCTCGGATAATTCTTCTTGGCTTGGACACCATTTGAGCCGCACCGGTAAGCTCTCATCCTTGTCGTTTGTAACCCAACTTTCATCATCAGTCGATTTTATTGTCACGATTGGCCAACGATTCACAGATTCCATCATCTATATGTGAAGTTTCTTTCAAAAGTAAGCTAAATCATTTTGTGGTCAATGATTTGAAGCGATTGAGTGATCCAGGCTAGCCGAAAGGCAAATAATATTAATTAGATATTATTGTAATTTGATTAGATTTCTCCTTCTTAGGCTTTTCTAGCTTATAAGATGCTTTTTATAATTTATATATATTTTCCTCCTATGTCGACAGTCATATGTTTGTCGACATAAATAAATAAAATAAATCCTTCGACTTCATTTCCTCCATTTTTGTATAACTATTAATTCTTAGCCCACCTCAAGTTTGTACTTGTTTAGAGTATAAAAATAGTTCAATAGAAAGTCGTGCGTGATTGTGATTCGTTGGATGTGATTTCGTGAGCAGAACAGCTCAGCTCTAGTGTGGCGAATGTGTTTGTCTAAACTCCCACATTGCTTGCCTCATTTGAAGTGGGCCTGTGGGCGGAGGAGGGGTGCTGGTTGGTCCTCGCGCTGCTGTTGAGTGGCCCGCTCTTTGGAAAAAGCCATTAAAAATGCATACGCCAATCAGCCTAATTTAATTTGGCATCAATTTTTGCCTGAAACTAAAACTGAAATTCAAATTCAGCAGCCAACTGGCCCATCGTGTTACATAATGGCAGCTATACTCATCGCAGAAACAACAACAACAACAACAACAACGAGCGTTTTATGTGCAATTGAATTTGACAAATTGAAAGGTCCGTATGCGAAAGTATTTTGTGCCATAAAAGTTGACACATTTGCATAAAGCAAGC